TTTCCCTATTAGAGGACACAAAAGTTTTACAAGAAGTTACTAAACGTTTTTCTCTGATTTCTACTTCAGGTGTTACATTATTGTCTATTCCACAAAGTATCTGTGTGACATGTACCACATGAATCATACCGGCTGCTTTCATTTGGAGCTGGAGCTAAGAGCTACCAGCAGCTTTGATAAAGCTCTTGAGCAGCTCCAGCAGTCAAACCAAGAAATGGCCATCTTAAATAATTAAGACTGGAGGAAGCCAAATGCCTGCAGCCACTGAGCCCCACATACATCCCCACTCAGTGTTGGTCTGTATTGCACATTTGCACATTTATTTTCAGATTCTGCTGGTGATGCTTTCCAGTAACAAAAATTGTGCGGGTTTTAGTTCATCTTGCAACTCTGTTTAGTTTAAAAACACATTCCTTCAGAGGAATACACACTTTCTAACACACTGCACTCTCCATTAAAAACCCAAGCCGTATTAAAATACCGAACAATTTCTTTTGGGGCCGCATACACTTCTCTCACGTTTATTTCATAACTCAAACGCTGCCAGAAGCCGTTTCGTGGGTCAAACAAGAAGCTGCAAGACAGATCAGTCCAAACTCATGTCAAACTGCTTTATTACATCTTAAATAACATTACATTTTAATATAGTATCTATCTTGCATCCAGCTTTCTTGAAGTACACTGACTTTAAAATTAAATACAAAAGGTGAAGAGGGATACAGGGTGTGGAGAAAGCTCTACAGAGTAGTTTCATGAAAGAGAGTAAGAGGGAAATCATCTTTTATGCCAAATCCAGGCCTAACGCACAATTACAGCACATTTTTGTACAGAATGTTGCAGAAAAAACAAAATGGAGAGAAGCTACTACTGCTGCTAGGAAGGAGCATTTCTGGATACAGTGAGAAGAGAGGAAAGTTTAACAGAACAATCTGCTGTCCAAACACTGCTGCTTTTAACATTTTATTTGAAAAGAAAGCCAGGAAAACCTGCTCGTTACAAAAATGACTCTGATCAGATGCAAAGGACTCATCCTACAAGAGGAACTGGCTGTGAGGAACTGATTTATAAAGAAGATGGTCTAGGTTCCCTCCTCCCACACCCCAGAATCTTTGACAGCGATTGTTTGAACAGGCTGTTTCTTTAAAAATAAAAAAAATAAGAGTGACTTATCACGCTACTCCAAAACGTGCATAGCTTTGTACTTGAGTTCTTCATAGATTTATGCACAGAGTAGCAACAATAAATGAATACAGCGACAATGGTTACAGTTTTTAAACAGGTTATTTCTTCAAAGAAAAAACATCTAAGGACTTAGTCCAATATGCACTTTTTAGCATTTCTACAGCATGCGATTCTAAGAGTAAACCCACCCAATATGGCAAACAATCAAAAAAGGTTTTTTTTTTGTTTAACTTAGAAAGTTCAAGATCATTATTTTCAAAACATTGATTTGTACATCATTTCATACACAAAGAATTGACTCAATACCCAAGTGTAGGATAGGTCTCTTTTGAAAACAGAGATTCCTGGTTGTTGAGACTTATAGGATAGTGTTAGGATATATAAACTGCCCTTTCAAGTGGACAAAACCAAAACAGATTAAAAAAATCAGTGTGGTGAAAAAGAGAGGGGCAGGAGGGACCAAGGATTGCATTTGTTATCCATAAAAGGTGAAAGGATTCTTTAAACAAGCATTCATTACCTTTTACAGCATGTGCTTGGTTACCTTACTGCTTAACATTATCCTATATATGCCAAGTTTTGTGCAACAATTATCTGTGATACTAGAAAATAAAATAAAAAAAATTAGGGACTAAATTTACAGCGTTAACAACCCCCAGATGCTCTGGGCTAGGACTCCCTTGTTTTGCTCAATTAAATACATAAAGAAATGTATTTAAAAAGGAAACTTGAAAAAAATCCTGCTACAAACATGACTTTAAAATTTGCGAGTGTGTGAGATAAAGTCCTTAACTTCAACTTGGAAACTACAGTGAAAGCTAACTGTTTCACAATTATGCTCAAGTTTATTTTCTGGTCATGCTTTTATGATAGTGTTTCATTTTTAAATTCTCAAGACAAAAAAAAAAAAAAAGAAAAGAAAATGGTCCCAAAAGGAATGCACAATTTCATTTTGCTTACAACACAGAAATTCTTCTTGGAAAGGTAATTGTGCTCTTCATTTCAGCAACAGGAGACGGAAAAGATCTTGCCCTTTGACGTTGGGGAGGATGGGGGTCCAAGTTAGTATGGTTGGATTGGATATGCTATCATTTTTAATTTTCAACCGTTGGAAACTTCTTCCAGTCATGGAGTCCGCCGCTCTTCTGACACACAGAAACATTTATTAAGAGGTGCACTTTGACAAACCATGATCAAGTTTCAAGCAATGCATTTAGCCATTATCTCATCGTTCTCAAGAACGCCATTTATTTACCAACCCTGACTCAAAAGGCCGTGTAGTCACCCCTACCAGCAAAATAAAAGGCACTAAAAATAGTTTGTCACAAAAATGTCATCGCATACATTAAAGGAATAGCTTTCCAAAATAAGCAACTGACTTTGTTTTCCTCAGTGACTTTCCTAAGCTATAAGGAGCTATAAGCTTGCAGCGTCAGTAAACCGGAGCACTTTGGACCTGGAAAAAGGCATCGTGAGCACCCAACAAGGGCAGCCTTAATGAACTGCACACCTACCTACTTCAGTTCCAGATCTTGAGGAAGCTGTCCCACGATCCTGTTGCCACTGCCATCCCATCATCAGTGACGCCTAAGCAACTGACACGGTTATCGTGACCAGCAAGGACACCTAGAAAAAAGAACACGAAACAAATGCATTCTATTACTTGGAGGATTTCATATTTCAGTTCAAGTAACACCGAGATGGACGTGTTTGGATTAGTCAATCTATACATTCAAAAATCCCCAATAAAATATGGTTGGAATTATAAAATTATTTTGGTTTTATAAGCACAAACTTAGATATAACTGCGTGGGTTCACAAGAGGGTAATTCGGTAATTCATTGCTCCAACATTTTCCTTGTATATTCCCCACATGATGACCTTTACTGGTTTCTTGTGAGTTGTGAAATCATAGCCCCGAAAATTCTCCTGGCAATGTTACAGCAATAATAGTACAACCATGTACTGTAACTCTTAATAGTTCTTCTCCATAGTGACAAAGATCAGTTAGGTATTACAAAATTTTTTAATGTGTAAAACCAGAAGTTAAGCTGAATCATGTTATGAACACTAAAGCATTTTTCATCTAATTTTCTCTCACTACATTTACAAGAACTTACAAGACAAACTCCTACATACCATCTATTTGTCAATATGGAGATGTGCTACAATTCAATTATAGTACCATTAAAAAAAGAATTGAGGCATTCAACAGAAAAATTAAGGAAGCCAAACATTTTCCTCTATCTCCTTTCATGTAACAATTTCAAGGAGGTAGAAAGAAAACCTAATTATGTTCAAGCTCGCTCCAGTCCACAGCACTAAGATATTCTTGAAAGACTTGAAATTAATCTTTCTTCATCAATTACACTGCTCACAGGACACTCCTCATTCATAGTTTGGGCTTTTCCTCTCCATTTACTATTCTCCAATATAGAACGTGAATGAAGTCAGTCTTCATTCTTAGAGAAACTTGTATGCCTAAAAACATCAGGATTTTTAACTCTTAGGTCAGTGTCAAAATGACTGTTTCATCCACGAGGATTCTTGACGTTTGAAGAAGGAACATTTCTGACACACTTTCTAAAGCAGTAATGCTGTGTGAGTAACACCGTTAATCTCCAGATCCTGTTAAATCCATACAAGTGCCTGAGCCTCAGCACAGAATTGGGCACTTCTGCAGCAGAAGCCAAATCCTAAGCGTTGAAGTGGACAATACATCTTTAGAAATGCAGTGCCATATAGAAGCCAGCTCCTACCTAGAAGTTACCTAGAATTTACTGTGGAAATGGCACCACTATATAAAAATTCAGTCTACCATCAACATTAATAGGTGCAAGCCGCAATCTGGTAAAATTAAGAGTGCCAAAAAGTCTTAAACAATTTGAACTGATAACATAAGCACAAGTGTTTAATACAGAATCAGGCATGACAGAAGTGTTGAATCTGCCCAGCAATCTTAAATCCAGAACATTTCAAGAAGCAGAATACAAAGTAGTTGTTTAAAGCAGTCCTAAAACTTGACAATAATCACACTTCATGAGTACATGGCCTGTAAACCCAGCTCAGTATGAAGAATTGTTTCTCATTTCTACACTTAAGATCACATCACCACCTGCTTCTGTTCAAGTAAGGTCTTTCAGAGAAAAAAAAACACAAGCAAACACACACAATTGTTTTTACAGAACTTGAATACAGCCAGTTGTAACCTAGCCTACATTAATCAAGAGAAATATCTCAATTTATCTCCACACAGGCTGATACACTCATTTATGGTCTCAATAACTGAAGTACAAGCATCTCCAGTTGTAAATCTCAACACACAGACAAGGCTGATTCATAAAATGCATTTCAGTACTGAAATAATCGTATTTGTCACCATTAACTTGCCAGTAGAACTAAATGCTGTTTTATAATATATGAACCGAGTGCCTCCAGTTTCAAGTTCTCAGCACTGATAAAAACTATCATCAATTTTGGAAGAAACAAAGAATAGAATCTGAGTGGTCAAAGTTGCTTCAGACAGCAATTAACAAACCCAACGGAAATGGCTGTGCTATACTCCAGGATTATGGTTTGTTTAGATTGTTTTCTACCTGCAGGATCTTCTCCCCTCAAAGCAATGAGTCCATTTGGCTCAAATAATGTACTTCAATTCACCCATTCAGCTGCATGTGGAAGGATATTCTGCTTGGCTGGTGGTTTTTGTTTGCTTTTAAGACCCACCTAGGATAATTTTAAAAGCCTGGCCCACTTTATTTGTAACAGAGCAGGTCCTTGTTCTCATCTCCTGTTCTGACGTGAACAACAAAATATTTGCAGCCTATTTTATACTTTTTCTCCTTTTCATTTATGGAAGTTTTCATTTTAAAGAACTGAAATTAAATTGTCTTAATCTTTGGACCATAAATTTCATATTTATCTCCTCAAAAGATAAACTCTGCAGTGTTTGTTGTTTCGCTGGTTGTCTCTACAGCTGCTGCTACAACTATCAGAAAAAAAATTCTTTTATATAAGTAACAGCATTAATGTTGAGTTGCTTCCAACAATTCATACATAAACAATGCCATAAAGACTAAAAAAAAAAAAATCAGCCCTCCACCCCTAAAATCTCATTTTTAATGGCAATCTCTTCCTGTCCTCAGGCATCCATTGTTCCCTTCCATCCTTTGGCAGTATTCTGATTTATTTGTTAACGTCTTTAAGCGACTTTCATCGCTGGCCATGCTGAAACAGGTTATCAGAGAATTTTAACGCTGAGACCAGGAATGCTAACCGGTCTGTGCATACGACAAATCACACGTTCAGTATATCACACTGTGTTTATATACTATTTAAAACCAAAAACGTTTCTTTACCTGCTCTATCAGCTTTCAGCGTGTCCCAGACGTTGCAGTTGAAGTCATCATAACCAGCTAGGAGGAGACGTCCGCTCTTGGAAAACGCTACAGAGGTGATGCCACAGATGATGTTATCGTGTGAATAAACCATAAGTTCCTGATCAGCCCGAAGATCAAAAAGCCTGCACGTAGCATCATCCGAGCCTGTGGCAAATGCGTTGCCATTTGGGAAGAACTTTAATGAGGAAGGGGAAGGGAAGGAGAAAAAAAAGACATTATTTCAGATTTGATTCTTCTGTCTCTCTAAATATAGCATTTTCTACAGACCACATGGATAAAGAAAGCAGCAAAGAGTATATACCTCTCTACTAGTGAGATATGGGCAAAAACACTGCAGTAACTAAAAGCACGTGAAGAACAGATGCTGTTTCCATTTACCATAATTGATCTGAAGTTGTATGAATTTTAGATACTTTCCCCAGCTACAAAGTATTAATTTAAGATGCCATAATACTACACCATACAGTACAAGCTCAAGAGCTGACACCAGAGAAATGTAACACAATAAATTTAAACCCCGTGTCCTCTGTTCAAGCCGATACGTACACAGATGGCGTTGATGTCCGACTCGTGACCAGTGAAGGTTTGCCGACACATTCCTTCTCTAACATCCCACAGTTTGGCAGAGGCATCGCAGGCACCAGAAACAAAACACCGGGCATCCGGAGCAAGGGACAAACTCATCACATCTCCAGTGTGCCCAGTAAATGTAGTTGTCTGCTGACCAGTTTCTATGTCCCAGAGAGCGCTGGAAAGAACAATTAAAAAGGAAAAAAATCAACAACTTTGTGCTCCATTAGGTCTAGACAGCACTTCTTGTCTAAACCCCTTCATTTGTATCACTGCAAAAAAGTAAAACTCCATAAAGTATTTAAAAAAAAAAAAAGACTGAGGTATTTTTCCATTCAGAAGCTAGTATTTATTAAGATACACACCTACATACTCCTCAGAAAACCCATCTACTGTCACTGTAGGCTGTTTTCTAGGAGCTCTTCTGAATAACAACAGAAACTGAATTCTGGACTAGAAAAATTCAAATATTTAAGGAATAAATACTAAATAAGTTTGAGAAAATTCCCTAGTTTAACACACTTACTTCTTTAAGCCAAAGAGTTATAGTAAAAGAAAAAATCCTATACCATCTTAACACAAAGAATCAGGTCAGCCTCCTCACTATATGAGCATAACTAAAACCAGCCAACACTAATAAACTTCCAAGTTTCCCATTACTGGTGAAAACATGACACATGAACAATAATTAATCACATTTAGACTTCTCTGTCAGGTTTACAAAGAATAAAGTTTCCTTCGAGAACAGAGTATAGCTGTGAAAAGTCATCACTAACAATCACATCAAAACTTTACTGCTTACCAAGTGGTGTCGCCAGAGCTGGTAACGATTTGATTATCATCCAAGAAGCGACAGCATGACAAGTATCCTGAAAACAAAACAAGAAGTTGATGAATGATACCAGAGATAACTCGTCACATTGCAGACTGGCTTGCTTAGATGTTGCTTTCTCCTAATTCACTTTTTCTCGGCAATCACCAGACAGTTCACCTTAGAAGGCAAAAATTAAGCTACTGTATTTTAGGGAGAAGGGAGAGAAGGAGAAAAAGAGAAAGGAAGCAATGAGAGCTCAAAGCTCTGCAACTAAAGAACAGCTCCATCAGAAGGCAGCTGTCTTGCTTATAAAAAGTTAAAACACATTCTCATTAAACTTCTTTTGTTCCAAGAGTATCTTCCTCAAAAGAAGATTTTAAAAAGGAGGGAGAAAGCCATTTACAAACAGGTAGCATGCAGCTAAAAAACCCTCACCATGCGCTTAGGTAGCGTGGATCACTCTGAACAGGCACTCACCTGTGTGACCAGCGAGTTCACGGCTGACACGTACATTCCCTTCACGAGTTTTCAAGTTATAAATGGAGCAGATGTTATCGAGACCGCCACAAGCCACATAATTTCCAGAAGGAGCGTATGCGCAAGTCATGACCCAAGATGAACGCAGGGGAATAGCATGCACCTGGAATTGATACATTAATGTATTTGATCTGCGAAACAACTGATTCAATAGTTCACCATCATGAGGTTTTTTCACCGGCCTCACACCATACATCATCTTTTTGGTGAAGGTACAAAAGGATGTGGAAAGAAAAAAGAGTCTTCAGCTGTTTGAGCATCAAAACTGTTTTGAGGGTAACTTGCATGTACAGCTCGTCAGCCCAAGTAGTGACGTCATTAAAACCTCAGATTGGCCTTCCCTGAATCCAGCTTAATCAGCAATTTTGGTAAAAAGGAAAATATTTCATTTCAGTGCTCTGATTACTATTGGTTTATTATAGGTTCAGGAAAATACTGACTTCCAGCTACAGTCAGCAAAACCGCTGATTCCAGGCTTTGATGCTATGCTATGAATGAACAAGTAAGGAAATCGCTACTTCTGCTGCCATTTAAATCCTTCTTTGGAAACCCACCGTAAGCAATTAGGCTTCCTATTTAAATAACCACCCCATGGTTCCTTGTCATTTAAAGAACTTTATTAAAAAAATTATAGAAGCTAAACGTGTTTTGTCTTCTTAACTCACTGCATTCATCCTTCGTAACATCTGGAAGGAAGGGATCATATCCTTATATATCTAGTGAGATTTCACGCAATATTAACAATCTTCCTGCATTTCTTAAGACGACAGTACAGATTACTGTTAATAGCTATATAGCTCCTGTTACTCAATAGCTAATATAGATTATTGTTACTCAATTGCTACTTCACTGAATCCATACTGCCAAGAGGTATGGGGGGCTGTTTTTGCAGCTGAGGAGTTCGATTTCTGATTGTAGTAAATATTTTACCAGTCTAGTTACAACATCTGATTCCATTCCCCCCAGATAAGAAAGCTGCTCTCTGGCTGTTGATGATGCCATGGATTAATTAGCACTCATATAAGATACTAAGATGGAAATCATGGCCTACAGTGATTATTTTACCATCTTATCCTTCAGCTGTTACAGTAATTTAGATCACATCTACCTGCAAGGCTGGGGTCAAAGATGGAAGATGAAGGCAAAAAAAAAAGGGAGGGTTTTTTATTTTGCAAGCAGCATTATTACTCTTTAGTAAAGTTATGGATTCATCAGTTTCACAACTGGGACTCAACAATAATCCCAGCCTTAGAAGTTGCTGCTGCAGTTGTTTGTTCCTGCTTCTCTCCTCTGTAGCGTGCCATTTGCTCAAGTGCACTGGCAAAATGGTTTTTAAGGCTATGAAGAGCTAAGCCAGAAAAATGTATCTGAAAAATTCAGCTCCATGCTCCTGTGCGCAATAGACTTAAGCAGCTCTGTCAACCTGACTCAAAGGGGCAACACATGAATTGTCACTAGCCCTGATAACAGTAACCATAACCAGTAAATACCAATCACTGTCATATGGAAGTAAAAAGTAATCCTGAACTGCATCATGAGATTACAGCCAGAAAGTGATGATCCACAGTATGTGCCAGGTCTTTCAATACTTAACTGCAGACAATAAATTACTGGGGCTATGCTTAAATCTCTGGCCATTCTGGTGCAAGATGCTGATTACTTATTGCTTTCTGTTGAGCAATGCCTCTGCAGTATCAAAACAAATCATAACATTCTCTAGAATTAAGTATTTCATAGTTTTCCATTTGTGGTGCGCATTTCCCCACACAGTGCACCTCAGACACTCCTGTATTCTTAAAATTCAAGCTTTATTGTTTTGCAGAATTCAAAGTTTGGTCTTAGGACTACAAAAGTAATGCAGTCAGGATCATGACAGGTGACATGTCCTTCCTTCGTATTCACAACTGAATTACAATGCAAGGTCTCAGTCTTACCTTGTTTGTAGTATAGCTGTCCCAAATTATAAGTTTGCCATCCTGGGAGGCACTAACTAGAAGCCTAGAGAGAAAACAGGAGGGAGACACAATCAATG